ATTTTCCTCAGATTTTTATAAAATTGGCGACTTAATTGTTTAATTTAGTTTAATTAATATTTTCATAACATTTTCAGTTTAATGTATTTCCTCCCTTGTGTCCTTTCCTGTTTTCTCCATTGTACTTTTTATGATTGTGCTCTTTTCTCTTTCAAGGAGAGTTGCACATGGGGCCAGAGGTGGGTTACTAATACTTTGTACCTCCACTTGTCCTTATATAACCACATTACCCATCATCTGAGCCTCAGTCTCCCCTTGGCCTATCTTTCTTCCTCTGCCTGGGCTATACTTGTTATCTGTGACATAATTCTCAGATTTGGGGACCCAGGGCACTCATAGTCAAGGGACAAGTATTCAGGGATAACTCTGCTTAATACAATCTAAGCAGCTGTATAAAGAAAGCCAGCTAGTGCTGAAGGGTGAGACAGTTTTTTTCAGGTTGAGTGCAGATAGGGTGGAATCATTACTGGCAAGTCTTCCTATTTGATGAGGAAACATATAATCGCATAGACTTCTCACAGTAGGAGGTTGAGAAAGACTTCACAATACTGAGGGTTAAATTATCCTGAGATTACTTGAACCAGTTGGATTCTGAGTTCTCACTTCACTTTTCACATTCTTCCCTTGCTGGCTGACCTACTTTTAGATTTGTTGCTTCTGCTGGATTGACACTTTTAGTCCGTGTCTTCCCTGGTTAATTTGAATTGATAAACATCATTTATTGATTTCTAAAGCAAAAGGTGAGAAAACTGACTCAGGGTTCTTAGGCCAAATCTGCTTGAGAACAGATCTGAAACTGCTCGTTCATTGAAGTCCATATGTAAAGAAACATCCTTCTTTCTTTCATTTTATTTAACTTCTGTTTCCAATGATTTTTTAAAGCTTTTTTTTCAGTTTTCTTTCTGTGACCTAATTTAAAATAACTATTTTTGCATTTTTTAAGTATCCGTGGTCTTGTCTTCAGAAATCTCATCTTTTTTTGTGACTTGTATATCCAGTAAAAAATAGAGCCATTGTTGGCAGACTTCATCTTAAAAAAAAACAAAAAACAAAAACAAACCCTTTGCCGTCAAGTTGATTCCGACTCATAGTGATCCTCTAGGACAAAGTAGAACTGCCCTGTAGAGTTTCCAAGGAGTGCCTGTTGGGTTCGAACTGCCCTTGTTTTGGTTAGCAGCTGTAGCTCTTAACCACCACACCACCAGGGCTTCCAGACTTCATCTTAGAAGTGGTTAAATAAAGTAGCTTGTAAGAGATTCTACTTCCCTAACCAATAATTGTTACCTAGTAGTCTGTTTTGCTGTTTAGTTCTATATCTTTAGAAGTCATGATTAATCATACTGAACTCTATTGAAAAGATCTAGTATTTTTGGGTCCTTTTATAAACAGTGTGAAATAAAAGTATCAGCATAGCGGAACAACTTTTTATCAGAGGTTTTGTATACATTTGTTCAGTTGAGGAAGGAAAGTGCCATTTAGAATAGTTTTTTCTATGTAAGATAAATCGAATCAATTCCCAAGAACAATCAAAGGTTCTTGGTTCTCTTCTTGTTTCTTATAACTTGATGCTGTTCATTTTGTGCCACATAAATGTATATAGTCAGTTAATGTGAATGCCAGCCGAACACTCAGAGGTATACTAGATGCTGGGGTTACTGGGATAGAAAGAAAAAATCATTCAGATTGGAGAATGGAAAGCGAGAGAAGATTTTAGCAAATCTCTAGACGTCTTTCTGTGTCTTCTTTGGCTTAAGAGACTATATTGGCATTAATTAACCATTTTAAGAAAGTAAGATGATAGTGCTTTTACATTCTTCTGGCCTTAGACCTATGCCTTGATGACCTGTGACTCTGGTTTCTTCGCTCAGGAAATCCAGCAGGTTATTGTCTTTGCCCTAGTCTCCCTGGTTCTCTCTGGCAGAATTTCTTTCACATTTCTTTTCAATCTCTTGATTTTAAATCTGGTTCAAATGTATTGGGATTATATTGAACAGTATATATTTTTCATATAGAAGTCACAGTGATTAAATGCTGTATTAGGATTTGAGAGAAGAGAGGAAAACCTTTTCTAGTTATAGTATTATAAATAATTTACAGATGGAAGGCAGGAAATAAAAGAAGATGGAGATAAAAATATTAGCTATTACTAAAAACTGAAAACAAAAGGAATGACCAGAAAATAAAGGTGAAAGGTAACTACTTAGACCTTACCAAAAATTATGCTCCCTGATTTTGTTCTGAGGGTTTGACATACTAGGAGAAGACAGTATAGCACAGTGGGCCAGGCTCTGCCATTTATTAGCTGTGTGATTTTGGGTAAATTACTTAAATTCTCCATGTCTCAGTTTCTGTCAAATGGAGATAATAAGAATACTTAATTCATAGGATAGCTGTGAGAATTAAATATTTATATATATGTTTTATTATTTATATATGTATTTATGTGTACACAGTATGTATTTACAAGTATTAACTCATTAGAGCAGTGGCTGATACGTAATTGTTACTTACCATCAAATTGATTCCAACTCATGGCAACCCCACGTGTGCAGAGTAGAACTGCTCCATAGGATTTTGAAGGCTGTGACCTTTCAAAGCAGATCACTCAGGCCTTCTTTTGAGGTGCCTCTGGGTGGGTTTAAACTGCCAGCCTTTCGGCTGGTAGTCAAGCGCTTAACTGTTTGAGCCTCCCAAGGACTCCACAGTATTTAATTAGCACCAGATAAATTATAATTACTTTTTATCATTAGGGATAATTTATAAATGCTCTTTTCTCAGACTCAGTCAGTAGCCTTCCTTTTACCTTTAACCCCAAAGTACTTTCATGCCACACTTTTAGTTGATTCTTTCCTTCAAGGACTTAAAGTGTTTATGACGTGTATAACCTTTGTACGAGAGAAATTGAGCAAGCCTATAAATTTTATTAATGTTGGTTGCTAAGTTGGGTTGCTTGAAAACATTCCTCCTATAAGCAGCTCTTGGAGGGTAGGCATGAAACTCTGTCTTAATGACACAGATGAACTGCCTTGGCCAGAGTCACGGTGGTGACTGACATAATTTCCTTACTTCTCATTCCTGTGTTCAGACCATTTGACAATTTCCTTAGAAGTTTTTAAACTTATGATTAATAAAGCCAGGAACTGTTACTCATTTTCTCTGCTCCCCCTGCCCCTGTCACTAACTGCTTTACACATAACTTCCCTACTTCTACCCCAACATCAAAGCATCTGGCTTCTTAAATAAACAGCCTGTAGGGAGGCCGCGTTCTGTGGGGTTTCAGCCCAGAGAAGAATGTGTGTGTTTGTTTGCTAGCGCCTGCAGGACTGGGTCCAGCTGACGGGACTGAATGTTCCTGTTGGAAGCTTCAAGGAACAGCTTCTCTCAGCCTGTTGCTGTGGAGCACAGACCTTCGTAACACCCGGTCAGTGCCTTTAACTGCCCCAGAGCTTCCTAGTGGCCTCATTTATTCCAATACTTAGCGTTTTCCTCATACCACCTTCCCCAGTGCCCCCACCCCACCCTCGAGCTTATTTAATCTGCTTGTGAGCTCTGTTTCTTCCATTCATTCTTGGGTCAAGGACTAGGGATTCTGGAAGGTCTCCTTGTTGGTCCTGGTTGAGCAGAGTGAGCAAAGTCCTCATGAAGAGTTGTCTCTCATGCAGTGCACTAGTCAGACGTTTATCCCCCAGACGGTGGTAAGGTGACTTCCTGCACTGGGGACTAAGAAGTATCAGCAGATTTGATGAAGTATAATTTATCTGGGGAAAGGTAAGCCTTCATCTGAGGTTTGGTTGGGATGAGGGTGATGAGCCAGCCAGGTATGACACATGGTCTGAAGGGTATGCTGTGGGACAATTAAGTTAGTTGTCTGCTGACTCAAATATTTGGCTCTGTGCATAGTGATTTTTAATTAGAAATCTATCTGCATCTCATGTCTGTTTGTGGAAATAATTGGAAGAAAGTTTATGTTCTGGTTAATTTCTGATGGCTATTTTCTTTTTTGTAATAATGGTAATAATAGGCTCTCCATCTGATCTGATCTTTCATGTCAGTTTCTTCTGCCCTCTCAATTTGCAGTCTGCTCTTGCTAACATCCATTGTCTTCTCAGTGGATTCAAAGTGCTCCCCAGTTTTGTCCTAGTTGGCCTGCTGCCCTTGCCTTGAGTGATCATCACATCTAGGGCATTGCTCAGTGGTCAGAGCAGGAGAGGCCTCTCTCCTCACCCGAACCCCTTCGCCGCAATTTCTGTCCTTGTGGAAAGTGAACTGTGTTTTGAAGCTGCAGAAATGATGCTGAGATGTTTTATATGAGTAGGAACTCTAGTACTAAGGCAGACCCACCCACCAAAACCCATCGTTGTGAAGTTGATTCCGACTCATAGTGAACCTGTAAGACAGAGTAGAACTGCCTCACAGGGTTTCCAAGGTTATAAATCTTTATGGAAGCAGACTGCCACATCTTTCTCCCACGGAGTGGCTGGTGGGTTCCAACCACCGACCTTTTGGTTAGCAGCCAATTGCTTTAACCACTTTGCCTCCAGGGACTCCTAAGGCAGGCAAAAATACCACATTTGGCATGTGTGGCATCAGCTCCAAAAATATTATGAAATTGATACTGAGTTTGTAAATTTCAACTCAGTTCTATTTTCCATCCCTTTCTAACCAGTGTTTCTATTGCATATTTTTACCCCTCTTCTTGAAAACTTGGTGAAACTTTTCCTTCCCACTGTCTATGTGGCCTCATTGATCTGTATGTAGGTGGGTCTGAGAAGTAATGAGGCTTGAGGAACAGTCTGATCAATTTCAGACAGTTCTTAGCAGCTCTTTTGTTGTTGTTTTAATGGTGATTACAATCAAAGTTGGGTTAATAATATGTGACTTTGACCTAGTTGGGTTGAATGAATTTTTATGACAGATACTTCATACCCATAAAAGATTATTAGGTGAATGCTGGACATGTGTTTTTTTTTTTTTTTAAGATTGAGGGTATTTTTTTCCTTCTCTCCCTCTAAACCCCCAGGCTTAGGAAACCACAGTAAAAATAAAATCCTTCCATTCAGAACCTGTGGTGTTCTGCTAAGAAAATTTTCTGTGAATGTAATTTATTTTCTGTTTTGCCTTTCAGTATCTGACCCTCCATTCCTCATCTACAACATGAGAAGTTTTGGACTAGATTTAAAAATATCTAAAAAAGTTCTATGATTCATATGGAAGAAGAGGAAGCCAGAGGTTGTGATCACAAATGTTTGGTGGTTGATTCTGAATTTAGAAGCAAATTGTGGCTGTTCTGCTTCCCAGTTGAATTTGACCATAGCATGGATTTCACATCTGGGGTGATTTGTTACCACCTCCAGAGCTTGCTTCTGGTATTCTCAAAGATTGCAGGAGCATTTCTTTCATATAATTATGAAAGACGCTTGACTTATTTTGGGGGTAATACTTTATCATTCCTTATTGGCTGAAAAATCTAATGCTAATAAAAGCTACTAGCTTGGATAATCCAAAAGCAAACCCAGTAGACATGTAGAAGTAAATTTGTTTTTTCATTCCATGTAGCACTCTGTCAACACTGAGGCTCTTTTCTTCTTCCTGGCTGTCTGTGTCTCTGTTTGAAAATAGATGGTCAGCTCACCATTAGTATACCCAACCCTGTGCTTGTTAGAATATGACATGTGATTAATTGGCTTGATTTCTTTTCATCAGAAGAGAATGATTTGTACCTTTGTTCCTTCTAGGGTTTATGAGTTTTCTTTCTTTTATGTTTGCTTTTGTTGAAAGTTTTGTTCTTTTCCTCCTGTATGTTCTAAAACAACTAAGTTCTAATATTATACTTGAGCCAGTTTACAAGTCTGGTAGAACAGTAAGATCACCCTGAAGGACCAAGAGAAATTGAACTGGGATGGAAAATTTTAATTAACTTTAATACTTCCTAGACAAGGTAGATAAATGCTTATCTGGTACGTTCTTGTCATAATACTGGATTCAAAACGTTGATCTGTTGTATACATAATCTAAAAGAGGTATCTCAGTAACCAGGTTTGAGTCCTGCTCTGCTGCTTCAAAACAAGTCACTTCACTTCTCTGACCTTTATGGTTCTGTTCTTTAAGCTTGAGAAGCAGCTCTTAGGATTGTGTGGAGGATCAGATGAGAAGTTCTGTCAGAATGTTAAATGTAAACTAGCATGTCGATGTCATTCGTTTAGACACTGACTGAACCAGCTACTGTGTACAAAGTGCTGCGCTCTTCTTTGCCCCCTAGAAGCTTGAATCTAGTTGGCGTCCAGGTCTGTGCACAAACAACGTTAAACATTAAGGATATTGACATTGGTGCTGTCTCAAGAGTTTGGGTGTTCAGAGATGGCTTGCTGGGAATTTGGAAGAAGCCATAACCACTACAGTGCAGTGGCCTAGCAAGGCCTCCTGGATGAAGAGAGGAAGATCTGTAAAGGCATGGAGGTAGGAAACCCAAGACATGCTCAGGGGATGATAAATGGATGGGTGGTAACTATAAGTGGTTTATGTTAGGGAGTAGTTGATGAGGCAAGAATGACCAAGATTTCCAGGAAAAGTGGAAGTCAAAAAAGATAGCTCTTTGGGGGATGGAAAGAAAGGGAAGGTGTGGGTGAGGGGTTTGGCAATAGGACTTATTGGTGAAAGTTTTAACAGGAAGTACTAGACATGAGGCTAGACCTGGAGAAACCAGAGGTGGAGATGGAGAGCTGAGGTTGTGCTTTCAAAGGTAGCCATTGCTGTGGGCCTGGAAAGGTATGTTCAGAATAAAGGACAGGGCAGATGTCTTTATACTTCAAGTGCTAAAGCCTTCAAGGAAATACTCCCAGACTCCTGGACCTTATTGTAGGAGTCCAGACATGAGAAACCCAGGAGCTATAAGCTGTCAGACAGTGATGCTCATAGAGTTCTCTTTCCTGAACATTTGTGAACTTCCCAAGGTTAAGGTTGAACTCTTGCCGATAACGTGCTTAACAGTTTGAATGAGAGATTGTTAGGCCGATCAGCTGGTCACATCCCTTACTTTTAGTGATGAGGTTAAATGACTTGCTTACAGGCCAAGAGCTGGGAGTAGAACACAGTTGTCCCAACTTCGTGCTACGTTTGGAAGTGCTTCATAGAGATGTTTTAAATCAATGCATCTATCTTTAGGGATAAAGCAAGGTTGTAGACCCGTTATAAGTCATATAGTTATGAAGTCTACTCTTTCCCTCAAGTTCACAGTACCCCAGACAGAGCTCAATTAGCCATTCTAAGCCTCAGCTCCACATTCTATAAGATAGAGCATTATCATGAGGCTCTGAAGAGAAAATTCATATGAATGAGTTTTGAAAACTTTACAGTACTGTATACGTATGATGTGCATGTACTTTCTTAATAAGCCTGTTGATCTGTCACAGCCTCCACGGGGCCCAGTTATCAGCCAGATGATACTGATAAATTGATACTGATAAATAGCAGCCAGCTCCAGAGGAACATGTGCATTAGGGAGACAGATAAAGCATACATGTATTTGGTTTTATCACTTTGCAGCGTTGCGTGACAGGTTGGGGCGGGGGTGGTGAGAATGAGAGTGAGTCAAGATTGGCAGAAATGTGAGAAGTGTGTGTCTTCTTTTTTTAGCCGTCCTGGTTACATCAGATTTTTAACTTGCTAGTATGACTGATAGTTTTTTATGGTAGTCGCTTAGGAAAGAACAAGATCTCAGGTGTCAGACAGACCTGGATTCAAACTTCAGGGATGACCATGGACAGATTAATCTCTCTTAAGAACCTTTGTTTTTTCATCTATAAAATGGGGATAATAATACCTCCTCTTCAGGTCATTGTGAGGATTAAATGAGACACTGTGGGATTTACCCTGTGTTCATCCTTTATTCAGGGTTTCTTATGGTTATTTCCAAAAAGCTTCCAATGCATTATTAGTTAGATGCTTAAATATTTGTGTATGTGCTTTAAAAAAAAAATTTTCATATCTGTAATAGTTCAAGAATTCTCATGGACACTCACAGGAACCAAATCTGATTTAAGAAATATGTACTACTTTTGTGCTTGGACTCAGGATAAAAAAGGGCATGGGTGAGAGAGAGAGTACTTACCTATCCAATGTCTTTCTTGAAGCTATGGGAGATGGAGCAGGAACTAATAATCCTACCATCATCAGGTACCTGGCCATCTGGTTGTAATAGTTCTAAATGTATGTTGTTATTTACTTATAATTTTAAATAACTTAAAACCATAAAAATAAGACTACTTATAATTTAATAACTATTTTTCTTCTACTTTACTAGGCGTTGGTTTATTAGAATTAGGAACTTTGGCTCTGGTTTCTTCCCTGTTTCTTCCTCATTTATTAACTGAGCAGCCACTGTTAACTTTGCACTCTACTGACCTCTGTGAAGTTTTAAGAAATATTAATGAGAGATCTGATCTGTACATCTCAAGAACTTTGCTTGGAAGGGAAACAGACCAGAATGCTGATGGGTTTATATCTTTTTTTGTGCATATTTCTTTAAACTAATATTTCATCACTTCCTGCCTGTGTTAACCCTCTATTTCTGTCAAAATGACCTTCTTACCAGTCCCTTAAGCTTATGCTTTGTCATTTCTTCATCTTTGTTATCATGGTATTCTCTTCTAGCTCTGGTTGGTTTTTCTGTTCTCTCCTATAATGTTAACCATGTCACGGAATACAACATTTAAATATAGTATTCTTTCTTGTTTTCAGTTTTATATATATAAGCTTTATTCCCCATATTATAAACTCCTTAAAGATAAGGACCAAGCTTGTACTATGAGACCTTCCCCATTTGTGACTCACACAGTGCTGTACAAAGAGTAGTCATTAAATACTATATTGTATAGTCTGGAATCAGACAGACATGGGTTTGAATCCTTGCTCTGCCCCTTACCAGCTGTGTAACTTTGAACACATTACTTCTCTGAGCCTGCTTCATCTATAAAGTGACAGTGATGCCTGATATATATATATATAGTAAGTGTTCAGTAAAAGTTAAATAGTGTTATCATTATTCATGAATTCAGTGATTGTTAGTTGAACACCTATCACATGTTAGCTACTGTACTGGGTCCTGGGAACTGATATGGAACAGAACAGACAAGATCCCTGCTTTTATAGAGCTTATGGGCTAGTAGAGATGATGGACATTAAACAAATATGTAATTATAAATATGATAAGTGCTAAAAAGGAAAAAGTACCTACAGGAGAATAAAAGACTGAGATGTTTTTAGCTTGGGGCGTTAGGTGGGCCTCGCTGAGAAATTGTTTAAACTGATACCTGAAGATGAGTAGAATTTTGCCAGGTGCGTCCCAAACAGCAAGAACAGTTTGTTCAAAGGCCTTGGGGCTAGAAAGAGCTTGGTGTGCTCAGGGATCTGGAAGAAGGCCAGTGTGGTTGCACCTGATGGGTGAGACAGTGAGCCTTTATGGTTCTGTTGTAATGCAGCTAGCAACTGGAACATAGCTCTTTGTCACTTTCTTTTCTTTGAAATGGGTCTAAGATGTAAAAATTAAATGCTAAAAGTTTTGAAATTCCGCTTATTTATTGGGCATGATTAGGGAATGAGGTGTTCCATGAAAGTGAATTTTTAAAAAATTAAGCTTATGCTTTTAAATGCCAAAAAAAATTAATGGAAATCTTTCTAAAATATCTTTCTGCCTTCTTACTCAACAGTATGACCCTGGATCATTAAGAAGAGATTAGATTATACTAAACCCTGACTCACATTATTATAATGTGGTATGGCATTAATGCTCCCAAGGGTTGTTGAGATGTGGGGGGTGATTTTCTCTCATTTTCAACGGCCCAGATTTATAAGCTTAAGCACCATTGTCGGCTTGTTTACTTTTTTCCACTTGTGCAGCACCACTATCCCCCTAGCAATATCTTGTTCCTTCTTGCTGCTGTGTCTGTCTGTCTTAGATACACTATCCCCTAATATGATTTGCATCTTCTGTTAACTAAGAACACAGCTTACTAATTGTAGGCAATTCTAACAAGTTTAGTAAATTGAATTAGAGTGATGGTCTGGAGGTTTCTAGTAGAGGTTGAATGCATAGATTTTTATTGCATAGATGGTGGCATCTGTTTTCCTCCTTTCTTCCTTTCAGTTAGTGACGAGGTGAAAGTTACTGTTGCCCTTTCCTTATAACACTGGAGTATTGTGGAGCAGGGAGTGGACTTTGTTGTTGTTGTTTTTAAACAAGTACCAGTAAACCTGTTGCCATCAAATCGATTTTGACTCATAGTGACCCTATAGGACAGAGTTGAAACTGCCCCATAAAGTTTCCAAGGCTGTAATCTTTATGGAAGCAGACTGCCACATCTTTCTTCTGAAAACAGGTACATGGCAGTGGAAAAGCAAACTGAGTGGTGAAATTATTGATGAGTCATAGAATTTTAAAGCATGGAGGGACTGAAAAGATCATTGTTCCAGCTTCCTCACCTTAGTGGTGATGTTCGGTTGTGTTGACCAAGTTCACACAGCTTTCAGCAGAGCTGGAAGTAAGATTCAGGTCCACTGGTTATTAGCCTAGTGCTCTCCTCTGTATCATCTTGCCTCTCAGAAAACTCTGAATAATTGAATAGATTTTGAAAATTTATACAGTATTTTATGTTTAGCTTTTTCATTGCTAAGAATAGTCTCCATGAGAACTGGAACATTTATAATCTTATTTTTGGCTCGTGTTTTATGGTCCTAGCAGTGCCTTATTTAACAGTGTTGTATTCTGTTACGATTTTTTCCTGCCTGCAACAGCATCACCCAGGTTGTGCTCCAGACCTCTCTTGTGCATAATTGTACTCCTCATTTGAAGTTTGGAAGCCTAATCCCAAATTACCATTCTTTATGGGCTCAGGGTCTCTGGGTGGTGTAAATGGTTTGTGCTCAACTACTAACCTAAATGTTGGTGGTTCTCGAGCCTACCCAGTGATACTGTGGAAAAAAGGCCCAGTGATCTGCTTCCATAAAGTTTATAGCCGAGAAAACCCTATGGAGCAGTTCTACTCTATACCACATGGGGCCACTATGAGTCAGAATTGACTTGATGGCAGCGGTTTTGATTTTACTATGGGCTCACCAATGCCTTGCCTTCACATGGTATTTCATTTGATTCTTCTTACCCCATGAATGAAGGAACATAATTTAGTTTTACTCCTGAGGAATTGGATTCCCAGGAGGGAAAATGAATTGTGCCTGCTTTCCCAACCTGGACTTGGCTTAACTCCCTTGTGTAGTTGTATTTTCACTATACCAGACTGTCTTCTGTAGATTAAATGTCTAGTGTGTTAAGCCTTAATATTCAGACTCCCGTAAGAAGTTTGTAGAGTATAAGCTTCATGAGCACAGAGCTATTGTCACTCCTGTTTCCCCAGTGCCCCAAATAGGGTCAGGCACACGGTAGGCTCGCAGACGTGTTTGGTGAA